GAGAGAGAGAGAGAGAGAGAGAGAGAGAGAGAGAGAGAGAGAGAGAGAGAGAGGGTAGGTAAGTGTTTGACTTGCACTTTAGTGAGTACATCTGTTATAGAAACAGCTGGAAAGATGTAGCTGGGTGACAACGGGATTGGGTACTCGCACTTTAGTGAGTACATCTGTTATAGAAACAGCTGGAAAGATGTAGCTGGGTGACAACGGGATTGGGTACTCGGCCTGTTGGGTGATTAGAAGCAATCCCACTCAGTCGGAGGGGTAACTTGCTTGCATCCACAAGAGCGAAAGGAGGGGGGGGAGGGAGGCGGAAAGTGGTTGGGGGGGAGGGGGGGGGAGGAGGTGCGGGGAAGGGAATCGGAAAAGAAATGAAGAAAGAAGTAAATGGGGGTAGTCGTCTGGTGTGGATCGATCTGCCCTTGAAGTCACATAAAATGTGATGTGCGAAATAAAGTATCTTTGCTTGATGTCTCGTCAACTCTCTACCAGTACTCTCGCCTCTCTTACTTCCTGTTCCTGCCCCTCTTCTTCCTCGTTTTTCCCTTCCTCTTCCTCTTCCTCCTCGGCTTCCTCGCTCTCTACTCCTCCCCCTCTCCTATGATCACCGCTACAACTGCGGCAGACGCTCTGCTTTCTCAAGTCTTCAACTGGTACTGCAGCTGCTGCTCGTGGGTCACATTGTGGAGGCTGGTGCTGGGTTCTGTGGGACGTATCGTCAGTTTACCACCTCGATGCCCCTCCTCGTCCTCCTCCTCCTCCTCCTCCTGTTCTTCACTGTGTTATTGCACTCACTCTTTTGCTGATTAAACGTGCTTCTTGCCGTGTCTTGGCCTCTCGAACATCCACTCCTGGGCTCTGTGGGCCGTATTGTCTGTTGTCCAACTCCCTGCCCCTTCTCCTCCTCCTCCTCCTCCTCCTCCTCCTCTTCCTGTTATTCACTGTGTCATTGCACTCACTCTTTTGTGCTGATTAAACATGCTTCTTGTCGCGTCTTGGCCTCTCGAGCATCCACTAGCAGTGATGCTGTGATCTATGATGGATTCACTGTGTCATTGCACTCACTCCTTTGTGCTGATTAAACATGCTTCTTGTCGCGTCTTGGCCTCTCGCGCATCCACTAGCAGTGATGCTGTGATCTATGATGGATGCATCCTATCGCTAAAGAGGTAGTCAGTATAGCACGGTGCTTAGCATGTGCTATTATCACTTAGTACGTGCTAATATCACTTAGTATGTGCTATTCTCACTTAGTATGTGCTATCCCTAAGATTAGGTGACATAGGATGTGGTACTGAATTGTGTGCGCTATCCGTAAGGTTAGTTTGGATACTAAGATTAGGTGACATAGGATGTGGTACTGAATTGTGTGCGCTATCCGTAAGGTTAGTTTGCATAGGATTGTTATTATGATGATTTGCTATTGACAAAATGAGGAGACAAATGTATCATGCATGCTATTTGAGTAATATGCATGCTATTTGAGTATCGTTGACGAACCTCAAAAAGTAGAATGGTATTTATTATTTATTATGTGAGCTAATTTCAGCGATAAAGGAAATGAAAACACGAGAGATAGGCTTCAGTGCTTGCTTGTCTTTTGTCCGTCCTCGTTGTTATGTCTGACAAAATGTATCATGCATGCTATTTGAGTAATATGCAGGCATGATTTGTTTTGGTTACTTAATTAGTAATTAGTTCAAAACAGACTGACTGCAAATGGTGCTTGCATGCTGCCCTGAGAATAGTTGACATAGCATGGTACTTATCACGAGCTAAAGGAAGTGAAAACACCAGCGGTAGGAAGTGAAAACACCAACGATGGGGTTCCGTGCTTGGTCGTCTTTTGTCCGTTCTTTGTAATGTCTGACAAATGTATCATGCATGCTGTTTGAGAAAGGAAGTGAAAACACCAGAGGAAGTGAAAACACTTATCACGAGCTTAAGGAAGTGAAAACACCAGCTGTAGGAAGTGAAAACACCAGAGGAAGTGAAAACACCAGAGGAAGTGAAAACACCAGAGGAAGTGAAAACACCAGCAGTGGAGTTCAGTGCGTGGTCAGCTTTTGTCCATTCTTTTTTATGTCTGACAAATGTATGATGCATGCTGTTTGAGAAAGGAAGTGAAAATACCAGCGGTGGGGTTCAGTGCTTGGTCGTCTTTTGCCCGTTCTTTGTTATGTCTGACAAATGAATCATGCATGCTGTTTGAGTAATGTGCCGGCATGTTTTAGGCTGGTTAATTATATACTATATAATTAGCTTAAAAATAAAAATAAAAACCGACTGTTTTGTCAGTAGTAGTACATGGAACTTAGTATGTCGTAAGAAGCAGAGCGCGAACAAAGCGTTTCATTCCATCTCACTGCACGCTAGAAGTGCATGCTACTCGACATCTTTCTGCGCCGGATTGTATAACGAATCTGCGACGAAGATTTTATTTCTTGTGCAGGTTTTTATTGCTTGTTTCTATTGCAGTGGGGCAACGCCCAAACTAGCAACAATCACCTCATATAGTGCTTATATATATATATATGTCTTAAGACTCTTTAACTCTATGCTTTGTCCCACTATACATTAGAATTGCACACTGCGACATCTTTCTGCTGTATAGATTATTACGTCTCGACTCTACAGCCATGACATGCTTTTTTCCTTCTACTTTTTTGTTACAAAAAAGGGCTGCGGTCTTGAAATATCATCATTTGAGCTGACGGCCCTAGGTAATTCAGAATTGCGTTCTCGAAGAAAAAAAGGAAAAAAAAAGGGAATAAAAAAGAATTGCATTCGTTTTAGTATTTACTCATCTGCTTCCAGTGCAGTTCGACCTCAGGTCTGTATTTCAACAGTTCAGTGGTGTAGTAGCTGAGCTGGGCCAGCTGCCCGTGACATGCGGGTGTTGTTTGTTTCTAGTGCACCAATTGCTTTAGCATTTTCATATAGATCTCTGTGCTTCTAGTGGAGTTCGAACTCAGGTCTGTCGTTTGTTTCTAGTGTTGCTTTAGTATTCAACAGAACAGCCGCCAGAATATCAATAGTCATTCACAGTGCTTGTTTGTGTGCTTCAGCATTCGTATAGGTCTCTTGCTCCACTATACTACCGTCTTCACCCGAATAGAATGCCCGGTCATTCCCGCTGTATCTGGACTGAAAGTTGCTTCAAATGCAGTTAAAATAACCGGGCGTTCCATTCAGGTGAAGACGGTAGCATGGCAAACCACCCACTGCATCTTTTCGGCCGATTGATGGAACCGTGAGACCTGAAGCAAATCTACGGTTGTAACCTGTTGGGTTAATCTACGGCTGTGGCATGTCGTCGGTATCTCGGTTGTGTTTCTTCTGCAGTGAAATAAGCCATCGTCAATTCTTCGAACTATTGAAAGTCTTGTGTACAGTGCTTGATTGCCTTAATGAGACTTAGGGCACACTCACACTGGGCAGATGCATCCAGGTCCCGCCATAATTGCGATCAGATACACTTGAGAAAATGCTAGTGTGAGTACGCTCTTTATGCCCATCTCTTCTTCTGCCTGGTATCATGCTGATGGGGCAATAGTGTGGCCACAGACTGACATCATGCTAATTGTGAACAACTGTGATGCAAACTCTTTCAAAAACACGTGGTATTTATGTTGATTGTCTCTCTGTCCTCCTTCCTCTCCCTCCCCTCCCCCCCCTCCGCCCCCTCCCCCCTCTCCCTCTGCTCCCTCTGCTCCCTCTGCTCCCTCTGCTCCCTCTGCTCCCTTCACTCGATCCCCTCCCCTGTCCCCCTGCTGGCATCATCTTGTGTGTTGCTCATCAGGAAATGGATGAAGAGAAGAGGAAGAGGGATTCTGAAGAAATGGGCGATGCAATGAAAGTGTTGGAGAACCGGACCATTGATTCAAAGCAGGAAATGGATATAGTTGCTGCATTGGACGAGATGAAATCCATGAGGGTATGTACGTGGCAGACCTCTTGTTTTCGGTCCTTGATTGTGTGGTCGGTCGACGGCTCTGTGAGCAATTTGCAGCAGGGAAGTCCTGTCGGAGGAAGTAAGAGGCGAATAGGGAAGCTGCCCTATTTGTCCTATTTGACTTTGGGTAATCGGAGAACAGCAAACAAAGAACAAAGTGTACAAATAATCTGTAATCACAATTGTAGCGAACAAAAGATAAAAAGTTGCAATAGGTGCAACAATAGCTGCACTAGCTGCAATAGCTGCAATGGCTGCACAAGCTGCAATAGGTGCAACAATAGCTGCACTAGCTGCAATAG